ATCATTCCATTTGGCTGGTGATTACCATGGCAATCAGGGGTGCTCGCTGACAGGCCAGCACTTCTCTCGAAGACAAGATTCTGCTGATAGGTGCTTTCTTGTCACTTACACCTGGCTGGGGAGGCAGGGGCATGAAGGGACACAGGGTGAGGCTAGAGGATGGTGTCCTTTCCCAGGAGGCCCAGCCAGGTAGCACAGCCCCAAGGGCCTTGGAAGGGGAGTCTCCATCAGGAAGGTGGAGACTGGGTCAGATGGTGGGCAGGCTAGTGGTTGGCAAACCACTTGGTATACGGCTGAGAATAGCCTCAAAAGGCACAGTCTGGAGGCTATATCTAAGCTACCTGCACCCACAGTTAGGCACTCAGCCTTCCCACCCAGGGCAGAATCTACCTCTGTGGCCTCGTGGAGCATCACAAACACATGACTGTCATTATTGTGGTTCTCTGTGATAAGGATTAAGGTGTAGGTTCTGATGACAGCCCAGGTGTTTTCAAATTGTTTAGTGCCAATGGTGTAAGTTTTAAAAGGCTTCAAGCAGACTACTCGGCTTTATTCAGATCCCAGCTCCACCACTTGGTGACTCCTGGGGACAAGTTACTGAGCTTTTCTGGGCCTCTGCCATTTGAGGCAGATACTAAATACTTGTAAAGTACACTGTTGCACAGATTAAGTATGTAAGCCCATTAGAACATATGTAGCAGATAAGGTCAGACACCGATGGCCCTTGGTCACATCTGTATTGTAGTGGAGGCTACTGAGGCCAGGCCCTGTAGCCAACTAGACTAGACAGTCTGATCTTCTGTGAAGCTAAGGAAGGTGTGTTGATGCTAGAGTGTATGGGGCTGAGCAGTGTGAGAAAAGAATCTTTGCTCTTCCACATTTTGACACCAGCAGGACTGGCTTCTTCCGCTTGTGAAGCAGGAAGGGCCTCGGGGAACATGGGAGGATGGACTACGCCTAAACATTGCCTTGCCTCCTTCTCCTGCTGCTCTGCTTGGTGCTACTCTCCTCTGAACCAGGAGGAGCCGGAAGCCCAAAAGATCAGAGCTGAGCTGTAACAATGGTGGATGAGACCAGAAGCCAGACCTCTCCCAGGATGTCTGTCTGCCTGCTGTCCACAGCTGATCTGTTTCACAGCCTAAGCTAGGTCTAATCTACCTTCTCAAGTTGCCATCCCCTTATTCCAGCTGCAGCTCTGGAAGCCTAGCATGGGGCACCAGGCTTTGGCACACTATGAACGATTTAAGAATGGCCACCCTATTTGCTGGCTTCCCCAGCTGCCCATTTACAGGAGCGCTGTCTGAAGGGTACAGCCACCACAGAGTAGAGCTTTGCTCAGGCTTCTCTGGGCCCCACCCTACCTCTCCTTTTCCATTTAATGACACTGGTCATTAACAGCATTGTCTTTCATCGACAAAGATAAAAGTAGTCATGCAAAGCAGGTCAGGAGCCACCTTGGGCTCTGTATTACAGCGCCCACCAGCCAGAGGCAGTGACAGGCCATTATTCTGTGTCCTGCAAACTGCAGTGATAAGGAAACTGCACCAATTTGATCCTTTATCTTGTTGCAGGTTGAGGAAAGATATTATTTCAATCTAGATAATGATTCAATTTCTCAGACGGAAATGAGATTTTTTTTTTCAAGTTTTCAAGGGGGTGGGGAGTGACACCGAAATCCCTTTTGGTGCTGGATCAGGCCATGCTCAAGTTAGAGGATTTCTTGTAATTTCGGTAATATATTGGGGGGGGGGGGCTGAACTGAGAGCAGGAAGTTTGATTGCAAGGGAGAAACATACAGGCTAGACGACAAAGTAAGTCCTATCTGGATATTCATCAGCATTAGCCCAAACCCGGAAGACCTAATTCAGAACATATGTTTGCACTGACACAGTGAGGTACAGAATGAGGATACACAAACTAGCCCCGCTGTGAAAGGGCCGTACAGGTCTTATACAGGCCGTCACATGACAGAGCTCTCCTGGGCCATTTCGCTGACAGATGGCCTCAATACCATTTCAGTACTTCCTCTCACAGGGAAGGAAAGGAGCCCACTCCATCACTGAGCAACTGTGCCTCCAAACTGAAGTCAAATCACCTCATCCAAGGAAGTCACAAGGTGCTGACAATGCAGTTCATCTCTGTGCACTCTGCAAACATCAGGAAGCCATTAAAACTAGATGCAAATGACATCAGATAACTCGCACGCCAATACTTCAATGATTTGCACTAAAGAGTGAGTTCAGAGAAATAATACATTAATTTTAAAGGCTTGGAAATTCCAAGAGCTTCAGTACAGTATTCTCAAACTGTGTGATTTGCTTTAAACAATTATTACAATTAGAGAGATTTCTTGTGGGGGCAGAGGAAATCTAATAAGTTCAGAATGTCTACAAAGTGGGTATGCATTTGAGCCATCCATAGACTGTTTGAAGAAACAGCCAAAGGGAAGGCTCATTTCAGCTCAGCCCCTTCTGAAACAGCCCCAACTGCTGACTCCAAGTCACAAAAACGTGGCACCTCTCAATATGGTGTTAGAGTGACCAGACTTGGGCATCTGAATCTTGCTGTTGTTGGTGTGAAAAGCATCACACAACAGTGGGATCATTGAGTGTTTCTAGGAGAATAGAAGCGTGGGGCTAGGGATTGGGAGGAGACTTTTTGCTGGAGACCTTTTGGTACTTTCTAATTAAGAACCACGAGACTATTACCAATCAAGAACAAAAATGCAGTTAATAAAAGCTCACATATTCAGGACAGGTAGGCATCCCTATTAGAGGCTGCTACGTCACTATCACATTTGAACTCTCATACTATGCCCAACCTGTGCTTTTGAAAACACAAAGGCAGTTGCAATCAAGATGGCTGCCAGGTCAAGCGGCTGGGACACATGGCTGTCTTTACCACAGATGTTAATAAGGCGTGGAAGTAAATGCAATGGGTGCCAGGCCCAGGCCCTCTTTGCCTACCAGCACATGCCTGCTGAGCATATAGCATGTGGCTTTTGCCTGGGACAGTCTCTGGACTCCTGGCTGTTGAGTCAGGTGATGCCATGGAAGTAGCAACACTCTGGAAGTGGCCGAGGAACAGTAATGCAAGTAAGTCCCAAGCCTTGTCTCCAGCCCATACATCACCCCAGGGCTGTATACGAACTGAGGAACTCACCCTAACATATATATTTTGCTGGGAGCCTGCTCCCATTCTTGCTGTCCTGTCTCCCTGGCGAGTGCTTTCTATGAGTGTGTCACATGCACCCTATACCATCTCAGGCTCTGCTCCCAGGACACTCCAACAGGTCTTTCACTGATAGTTGCACATGCAACCCTCTCATGTTGACAGAGCCCAGTGTCGGATGTGCACATGGCCTTCTGCTTTGGGGGAAGGAGGATAACCACCGTCCTTCTTGTCAGAGACTGTTTGTCTGATATATTGCCTATGCATGCCAGAGACACAGCACACTGGTCTCAGAATGAAGAGAATCCAGACAGTGGGACCTGGGTACCACGTGATCATCATTCCTCAATTTCTCCAACAGGGTTGCAGGCAGCCCCAGCATGGCCTGCTTCTTAATCGGAGAGAGATCCAGTCTCCTGCAGTGGAAGGTCAGAGTGAACATCTTAGAAGCACCACATACCAGGTCAGTGACCCTGAGCGGATATTTAGTCAGTCTAAGCCTCAGTTTCTCTAGTTCTATCACAGGAATGCCTGGGAACCTTGTGAAGCTCTCAAGAGGCAAGACTTCCAACTGTGTGTAAACAGCTAATGCTATGTGAGTACCACTTACTAGTACTAGTATTTCAAAATAGCCAGCCCCTCCTGCTAGCTTGCATTTGTTTAGTACGCAAATTCAGTTGTCCCTCAGCCTGGGCACCAGTGGCTCTCTAGAACAAACAGGACCTTGGTGACAGTCCACTGAAAATTTAGCGTGTCCCCAGTTCTGGCTTCACGGGTGCTAGTGGCCCTTCGTCATTGCTGTCTGCAGAAGGCTCTCTGTGTACTTGAGAGCCATGTTCTGAGACCTGGGGAAGATCCACACCTCATCTCAGTGCTGTGTGTAGAACGAAGGGGACTTGCCCTAGCATGTACACTTGGGGGGAGGCTGGCCCCCACTCTTGCTGCCCTGTCTCCCTGGCAGATACGGGTTTCCTGTATCTATCTCACGTGTACATGTGAGGTTGGTCCCAAGGCCAACCTCAAGTTTGGTGAAAACATCACACAGTCATCTGCACATGATGGAAGAGCAGACAAACTGGGCGGAATTCACTTTTATTTACACAGGCGAGGGATACTTTGCTGCGTGCTGGTTCTTCGCCTCTACACCCTTCATGGAGCCATTCTGGGCCCTCAGCACCTTGCCCAGACTCATCAATCTCTCCTCCACCCACCAGACCCATGCCTGCGCTGCCCACCGCACAGGGCTTAGTGGGTTCCCAGCCAGCCTCTGCTCTGCTCCTCCAGCTTCCTCTGCAGCCCACATCAAGTCTGCCCTCCTCCAGAGGGCACTGCCCTGACTGCTCTCACCACTGGTGTCTCTTTTCGTGCCATGGGAGCCAGAGCAGGTCCAGGTGCCATTCTTGTACACCTTCCCTCCACACTGAGGACAGTAGGTTGCCTCACGGCTCTGGGTTGAGCGCACTGTCCTGTAGTGTGTGAGAGAACTGTTTCAACGGAGACGACCTAACGCAAACTTAGAACAGCGCAGGCAGCCTCTCGGCATCCCAGGATAGACCCGCTCACACAGATCCACAGCAAGGAGATCTGTCTGGAAAGCCCCCAGGGCTGTCTTTTACGGAGAGGGTAGAGCAGAGTTCTGAGCAGCCTCCTTCGATCTAATGCCCTGTGCAGCTGGGATCAGCCCTGCCCAGGGAGAGGGACCTTCCAGAAGAAGACTCCAAAGCCCGTTCCACACAGGTCACACAGTTCCTGCCCTTGGCAGGGAAAACTGCCCATTTCCCAGAAGCATTGTTAAACCACAAAACTCAACAAGCAAAATTCATACTCACAAGCACCGACTCCTTAGGCTTCAATTTCAGGCCACCAGTTTTTCTGCAAACCTGCTCATTTCCTGCAAAGAGAGGGACAGGCAGAGAGAAGCGCATTAGCATCTGCTCTGGGTATCCTTCAAGCTTTCCTGGCTGGCCTCCGGCTCCACACCTTCTCAGCACACGTTCCTTCCTGCAGCACTCCCCTCCCCTCCCTGGGAACACCATGTTCTGTTGGGTGGGCGCCCCCACCCCTGCAGGCCTATGGGCTCTGCCCACGCCGCCTCCTCCCGCTCCCGGCGCCCTGCCAGTCTCCGATTGACCACTGCCTCCAATTCCCTGAAGGCACTGGGCTTCTTCCCACTCCGGAGCCAGCGAGGCCTCCACTTCTGTAGCATGGGGTTGCCTAGCAACGGTGCGCGCGGGCTCAGAAGGCCCTCCTAAATTGGACCTCACAGCACAGGGCATCTCCTTGTACAGCTGCCTGCATCTTAACAATCCGTCTCTGAATAATAACACAATGGTAATTGCATTCATGGACCCCAAACTACATTTAAATAATGTTCAAGAGCTGACACAAACCAACAAAGGCCAGAAAATGCATCGGGGAGGTTGACTGCGAGGCCACGCAGGGACGCTTCGCCGTGGGAGGGAGCTGACACCAAAGACTTGAGTTAATGACAATGCCGACCCGAACTGTGAATTCTCCTGCTTCTGCCTGAGCTTGCCATCACTGTAATGCGTGGTAATGTAAGTTTGGGCAATTAATGCAAGGAGGTAAGGATGCCTCAAGACAGGATGCCCTCTGGTTCTGCTGACTTGTACCTCAATTTTGGGGGAACAGAGAGGAGGGAAGATTTCACAGGAAAGGAAGCTTGACAGTGAACTTCTTTTTCTTTCTTTCTTTCTTTCTTTCTTTCTTTCTTTCTTTCTTTCTTTCTTTCTTTCTTTCCTTCCTTCCTTCCTTCCTTCTTTCTCATTCTTCCTTTTTCTTTCCTTTTTTCTTTTTCCTTCCCTCCTTCCTTCCTTCCCTCCTTCTTTCTTTCCTTCCTTCTTTCTCATTCTTCCTTTTTCTTTCCTTCTCTTTTCTTTTTCCTTCCCTCCTTCCCTCCTTCCTTCCTTCCTTCCTTCCTTCCTTCCTTCCTTCCTTCCTCCCTCCCTCCCTCCCTCCCTCAACAAAATCTCACTCTAGTCCTGTTTAGTCTGGAACTCACCATGTTGACTAGGCTGGCGTCAAACTCATGGGAGCACATCCTGCCTCTGCCTCGGAAGTGCTGAGATTACAGCATGCCATGCTCAAATACATTTTAGAAGGAAAGGGAAGAACCCAGTCAAGCAGAGGAGGAGACTCATAATGCTGCACAACTGATGTCCTCCGGGATGAAAAGTGAAGGCCCTTATGGAGTCACAGCAGCAGGTCAGGTTGACGCCTTCAATGCCCGAAGCCCCACAAGACACTCATATTTGTGCAGCCCTGTCCATAACAGACTCATTCCCAACAGGTAAACCCAAGTCTCTGACAGTCACTGAGTAATAAAACATGTTAGGCACAGTCATATGAAGGACTATCATAGAGATATATGTATCTGAAATTCAGATACATCTATACTGTGCCTCAAGGCCATGTTAAGTAAAAGAAGCCAGACGCAGAAAGACCACTTCCTCATAATTCCCTTTACTTGAGAAATCCAGAGTAGCTAAATTTGTAGAGACAGAAAGTACAGGGCAGAACCTGGGGAAGGGAGGGGGGATGTCTTAAGAGTACAGATGGGGAAGAGGGAGGAGCTCTGAAGTGAGTGGTGGGAACGACTACACAACAGTATGACAAACTTAGTATCATGGAACTGCACCCTGAAAAGTGGTTAAAATGATGCCTATATTCGATTTTTAAAAATCTGCTTGTAATACTGGTGCAAGGCTCACTAGGCTCTTCAAGACCATCCTCATCTTGGAAATCAGAGTGGCCCCTGTCATTCTCAAGTTTGAACAGGGTAGTTGTCTCCAGGACTAAAGCCACACTGCTCAGGGCAGCTGACAAGCATGGGCCTGTGCCATGTGGTTGAACACAGGGTCTCCATGCTGAGAGGTAAGGTTCTGCTACACATCTGCTTACAACATCTGCTTTCCCCTGGGGACAGTGCCATCCTGTCTCCTGCCTGCTCCCTCCTGTCACACAGGCTCCACTGCATTTCCCCTTAGCCTGCCCCCTGTGCCTTAGCCCACTCTTCTGGGCTCACATCAAGTTCCACATCCCTCAGGAGCCTTCTGGATTCCGCACCCCTTCCAGTGTTGCTCTTTGTCAATGCTGTGGCCTGCACTGACCGGCTACTGCACTGTTTTGCATTCTAGTCTGAGTGGTGCCCCTCCCAGGGAAGCCTTGGAGGAAGGACAGCACCTGTGCCTGCCTGAGGACCACACATCTGATTCTAAGAGCTGCAGGGCTCCTCTGCCTTCTTTTCAGGGAATGCCTGCCATGAGGCAGGTCTGAGGGCTGCAGAGCCCTGGCCTTGGGACCTCGGGTAAAACCCACCAGCAGCTGTTGCCAGTTGCTGGAAGGTGCTAGCAGTTGTGTATTTACAGGTCTGATTAATTCGGAAGAGTCATTACAGCTAATGGCTTCTCCGAGAAGGAATGAATGAACAGCATAGGTAATTTTCTTTCAGTGTCCTAGATTTTTTTTCTTGGAATGTGCTTTAAGTCTTAAAACAGAGTATTACAAGAAAAAAAAAAGAAGAAGAAATAATAATATTAATAGTAGTAGTAATAATGAGGACAGAGAGGAGGGGAAGGAGCAGGAGGAGGAGACTCTAAGCCTGAGACATGGGAGTTGCCCAATAGCTGCTTGGACAAGCTTCCTCTGTCTCCTTGCTAATGAATGGGGCATGGTCTGGAAGGTCCTTCCAACTCAAACAGATAATAAAATTATGTCTGGAGATGAGAACGAGGAAGGTGGTTAGGAACTTCCAAGGTCATGCACTCCACCCCACCAGGTACCACTATCTGAGGACAAGGTTTCAGCCATGGCCCTCCTTGGACAAAGACAAGGTTTGCAGTCACTCCACCGTCTTCCCGGACACTGACCCTGGTGCTTTCAAACTTATGACCTGGCTTTCCTGGCTCTCATCTGATCATTAAAGTCTTCCATACTAATGACTTGTTTTCCTGAATCTCCAGGAATGGCTGGAAACAGGCCAAAGTGCATCGTCTAGGCTCCGTCTCTCCAGCCCTTGGCTCTGTGACCAGCGGCCCTGTCTGTCAAGGCTGGCTGCTGCAGGACAGATGCTCCTGGCTCTCTCAGACAGGCCAGATTAAATGGAAGTGCTGTTCAGAGGATAGAGAGCTCTGGCTCCAGACTGCCATTCCAGGCGGAGACAGTCTGGGCGGATAACAGTGGTGTTCTTGCGTGGCTGTTTCCTGGTTATTGTACCGCTTCCCTGTGCCTCGGCAGACAGACAAGGGAAGGCAGGAAGCCTGTGTCTGTCGCAAACATGCAGGTTCCTACTTCCGGAACACTCGTGGCTTTCAGTGGCAATGAGATGAATTGTAAATTAGAAGTAGATGAGTAGTGACATTAACACTGATGTTAACAATGTCCCTTAACTAATGTGTGGACAGTGCTTTGTGGTTTAGTCTGGTCCCATGCATCTGCCAGGCAGGTGTGGTAGCTTTGGCCCATTTGTCAAGTCCAAGGTCTGCTTCTTGCTAGCGATGCAGAATGTAGGTTCTAGCCACACTCCTCTCAGGAGGCTTCCAAACAGGGAGGGAGCTAAGTTCTGAGACACTTGCTCAGAACCCTCCAGCTAATGAGTGCCTGGGCCCCCACCCTTTAGCTTCCACACAGGTTTTGTGTAGAGGCTTGAGGATAGTTGGTGCCATCTGCTCTGTCCTTAAGGAAGTGGCAGAACACAGGTAATATGAATGTGACACAAAATCAGTATTGTTTTTGGAGTCACTATTGGATTCTTTTTAGAGGAGAAAAATCCATGCTCATCGGAGCCCTGCAAATCCCCCAGTTCCACTCCTAAAAGTACCCCAGCACAGGGAGGACAGCTTCAAAACATACTGAATAACAGACAAGGGTTCTGTTCACATGCTCACAGCCACAGAAGCAGCTGAGGAATTTCAATTCGGTCCCTGTAGCAGGGTCCAGAAGTTGTGAGGTCTGCTGGTTTAGACTGGCCAACTGTCACTGGCCATCTGTATGACCTTGGGTAAGTGACTTAACCTCTCTATGCCTGAGGCTTCTGTTAGCTACCCCTATAGCTCTTGCAAAGTCAACCCCAGCATCACACCTTCATGAGCTGCAAATGTGCGTCTGTATGAAGACCTTTGAGCCAACGTTTAAGCAGCTTCTTTATACTAAAGACACCAACACATCCTTCAGAGCGCAGACGGATAAGTATGTAGTCAGTCCAGACAGCAGGCTCGTATTTGCTGATGAGAAATGAGCTATCAACCGTGAGAAGACAAGGAGGAAGCTGAGCTGCCTGGCGCTGAGTGAGAGGAGCTAACTTGACAAGGAGGCAGCTGCGCTGCATTCTGGGAAAGGGAGCCACATGGAGATAACCTGAAGGTCTGTGGTTACTAGGGACTGGGGAAGAGAGGGATGAACACAGAGGGCACAGCGAGTTCTAAGGACAGCAAGACCTTTTCTGTGTGTTCATATTTGTCAAAACCCGTTGAGCACAGCACACCAAGAAGGACACTACTGTGGGCCCATGAGCCCAGTGGGTGGCGTTTTGAAAGCACTGGCACCCGTTCACTGATATTAATAGGTCTGTGCAATGCTGACACTCTGGGGGGTTGGGGGAAAAGTGAGGAGAAAGGCCTATGGTTCCCCCTCTGGGCTTCCCCTCAAGTTGTCTGTAAATGGGAGCCTTGGGTAAGTGCAGCAGCTGGCTGCAGAGGGAGAGCTGGGGTCTAAGCCATCCCACCGAGTCTATCTGGCACGAGGCTAGCTTGGTTCCTTCTGAATCAATGAGGGAGGTATGTGGAAAGGGAGGAGAGGGGAAGGGCTGGTCACAGCCGTCTCAGGCAACTGAATCCTCCTCTGTCCTTGCTTTGTGGGATGATGGCTCCTAAG